GCGTAGATTTAGTTTGACATTGTTTTAACAGGGCTGTATGCAGGTAGGAGAAACGCGTAGATTTAGTTTGACATTGTTGTTAGAGTATATTGATGATTTAAAGATCAAATCCACTACAGTTTACATCTCTTTTTTTTCTTTCCCTCCACCATTAGGAAGCAGATTTTGGTTTGGGACCGTTTGCTGTAAACTATGATCGGAATACAGCAGTGGATACCACAATACCAATTTTTATCGATTACAATACCATTCTGGTAAATTACAGGAAAGATGGTCCAAGTATTTTCAGTTATCTTATGGCTTTTGGATGGGAGGTAAACATTTGTGTTCCATCACACGTGATCGACTTTTACCCTGATTACCAATACTTTCTTGTAAACCTTTTAACCTGATTACCAATACTTTCTTGTGAACCTTTTAACCTGATTACCAATACTTTCTTGTAAACCTTTTAACCTGATTACCAATACTTTCTTGTATACCTTTTAACCTGATTATCAACACTTTCTTGTACACCAAGTTCTTGTTGTCATGTGATGAGAATCAGATTAGAACAAACCGACATAAATAGAGATGAGTTAAATTACATGTTATAATGTGACTGTCACTATTACATTGCTTGAGTACGTTTGTTTGATAGGAGAAAAACTCAAGCCAGAAATCGGTTACTTGAGTTGCTAAAGCAGCTCATCATAGAACAAAACTGAAGTCAGCGATTGGACAGTCTTATTAAATAAACGATTTAATAACTATTCTGTTAAAGAATTGAAACAGATTGGCAGTCGATAAATACTCCATAATAACTTAACAATTGTTAACGTTTTCATTGTAAATTGAATGTTAAAATTGTTGACAATTAGTAGAAACGGTTTCATATCCTATTCTGTCAAAAAACCGAAGCAAGGGGACAGTTAAACCTAATATTCTTAATACACGTCAAATAGACTGTAAATACTGTTTACATATCTCTGTTGATTAGTCCATTACTAATTAGAATTAAGAGGTTTCTACAAACAGTATTTGATATATCATTCCTGTCTGTCACTGTCAAACCTGGATGAGATCTCTTTCTTGAAGTTACTGTAAGTATGGTATTCTCACTTTGACAAAGTTAATATATACGATATCTTACACACACGGAAAAACACTGGGCAAAAATAAAACAACTTATCTACATACTGAGAAAGGATTTATATTGAAATATGAAAAAGGGCGTTATATACACAAACATAGGGTCAACTTGCCCAGAATGCATATCTCTTGATTATCCCATTAGTAAAAATAGGGGATATATCTCCTACAGACTTTTTTACACGGCCGTTGTTACTAGGAAACACATTAGTAAAGCAGTAAGTAATTCTGACAAACTATGACCAGTTCATGTATAAGATATTGGCTGTTCTAGCTGCACGCTAAACTCGATACGTGTAATGAACACAAACAAGTGAAAAAAATGTCTGAAAATTGAGTGGACAAGAAAGTTCACCTTTCTGAACTAAAAGTAACAGAAACACCAGATATGTTTTACATATCCATATGTAATATGAAAAATGAAGAAGTTTAAAGACAGATAAAGTACAATAAAATGGATAATTAAACAATTCAGCTACTTTCTTTGTTATGTTGCTATAGTGACTTTAGGAAAGTTATGTATCCACGGTAAAAGAATAAAACGATTGAACTATGCTGTTGCTATAGCAACGTGATAGATAAAGAGACTGAAGCCAGTGATTAGAAACGCTTTAGGTGATATAGTAAATGTGAATAATTTTTTTAACTATGCTGTTGCTATAGCAACGTGATAGATAAAGAGACTGAAGCCAGTGATTAGAAACGCTTTAGGTGATATAGTAAATGTGAATAATTTTTCAAACAACCTTTCTTTACCGGCCCTATACTAGGAGTTTCCAATAAGAACATCTCGATAGCATACCTTATGTGCTACACGCCAGTAACGACGACGAGGTCTTTCGCTCAATACCATAGACCATCAGGTCAGCTAGACATGGAACACAAAAAGTGTCGATCAAAACGCTAATTATATCGGTGGTATACTTATAAAACATTACATCACAATAAGACAAATATTGAGCGAAAACTTGGATGGTAGTGGCGTACGGCACACAGGGGGTACTGTCGATACGATCACTATATTATTCTTATTGAAACTTGTCATAGAGGACAAGTAAAGAAGTGTCTGTTAGAAATTATCTTCAGTGTCCTGTCACTCAAACTAACGATTCATAAATCACATTCTTTGTTATAAGGCTTTATATACCATAATAATTGATAGATCATAAATCGTGGAATAAAATGAAGGATATTGGGAACCTACAGTAGCTACTTGGAAGTTATCATAATAAGCTATGTAATTAAATAATTGAAACTAATTCTTAAATTTATTATAGTAATCTGTGTAATTAAAAAATTGAAACTAATTATTAAAGTTATTATAATAATCTATGTAATTAAAGAATTGAATCTAATTATACACCTGGAAAAAAATTAAGCACCCCCGTGTTTTATTCAAGTGATTCAGATT